TGCAGGATCCTCCTCCTCAGACTGGTTCCCAGGCAGACTGGGGCTCTCTGCTGCCTCCATACCTGAACACAGCAGCATCATCATCTGCTTCTGATCTTTAAGGTGAGCCAGCATCTTCAGGCTGGGCTTCCAGGTGAGTCCTACCTGTGACCTCCTGCTCCTCCACATCATCCACCTCCTCATGGCTCTGGAGACCTGGGAGCAGATCCAGATAGTTCAGCCATAAACAAGCTGATCAACACCTCAGCAGCACAATAACAGATTAAAACCGCCTGTCTTTCACTGACCTCTTCCAAACGCGGTGACCTGCGGATGCAGCCTCTCCAGCTGCCTCTTCTGGCGGGCGATCTGCTGCCTTAAGCCCGAAGCCTCCTTCTCATAGTCGGCTACGGTCCTTCCCACCACCGCTATGATCTCCCGGGCGGCGGTGCTCAGCTTCTCGGTGATGATTCCTCTCAACAGTTCGCTTTTAGACACATCGAGCGGATCAGAACCGCCGCTGCTGCAGTAGAACATGCTGGGCTTTCTCAATCGGGATCCAAAATTTCTGTCAGTCGTTGTCACGCACTTACTTCCGGTTTGTGGTGTTTCAGAAAAGCAGTCCGTGTAGGAGCAAAACACCTTCTTCTTCTTCTTTTCTATCATGGCGGAACGCAACTTCATTGCGCATACCGCCACCTACTGTACACGAGTGTATAGCAACATTAGTTTACATCAATTTCTGCTTTTGAATTTTGTATTCTGTACATAAATAATGCTTTGCTTAATCTGTGAATATAATTTATATTCCCTTCATTTCCCAATATTCCTTTAAGATTCCATTCTTGGATTGTCCTTCCAACCATTCTTCTAATTTTGTCTCTTTAAGAGTTAACAGTACAAAAAAACAAACAAAAAATGTTATTCCCCCCCCCCAATTTCATTAAATACAGAGAAAAGGAGTTCTGGGCTCAAAACAGACTTATGTGGTAGCCCATAGAGAGGCTTTGTGGTGTTCTCTTGATAGCTTAGCAATTATTACTAACCTGCCCATGCAAGGGTAGAACATAGAGAAATACAAAACCAAATGACTATTAAAGACCAGGTAAGTTGCCATGGTAACATATTTCCTATAGGAAAACACTACAGATGCAGTTCAGTGATTATCAGACTGCACTGTGTTTCACACAGATAGAGTGACAGCAGGGTCAGAGATAAAAGGTAAAGTTTGTTCCTGACTGAAACAAGGCCCAGTCGCAAACCGGCCCCTAAGCACTAACCCTCCGCTTGTGCCTTGCTGGGGAGGGTCTAACACATTAAGTGCCATCCCAAACCACTGTGTGGGTATGGCCAGTCGAACGTTCAGCCCTTAAATAGCGAGTCTGCATCAGATGCAGGCTGGCTGGAATTCGGCAGTAGGTGTAAAAGCGGCCTGTTGGCAGAGAAAACCCCTTCCAAAATATAAATTCTGCTGGTTTGCTGCATCTTCGTCACACTGACAGAAAATGACAAGTTGGTACATGAAAGCCAAAGTGTCCATCATGACTCTGCCGAATCCAGCACTGGTTTATCTTGAGCCTGGTGGCTCTTCATGTGTGATTTAAGGCAGTGGCTCTGAGTGAAGGCTTCATCACACCAAGAACACTCGTATGGTTTGTCTCCATTGTGGGTTCTCATGTGGACAGTCAGGTGTTCTTGCCCAGAACAAGCTTTGCCACAAACTCCACAGACAAACCTTTTGATGCCTGAATGGGTCTTGATGTGTTGGGTAATGTTAGTCTTTTGTTGGTAGCAGCTTCCACACTGGCTGCATTTAAAGGAAGCTTCATTAGTGTGAATGGTAAATGGCATGTACTTATATAGCACCTTTTCTCAAGTCAGGAGACTTGACCAAAGCACTTTACACTACATTCATTCACCCATTCAGGCACACACTCACACACTGATGGTGGCAAGCTACATTGTAGCCACAGCTGCCCTGGGGCTCACTGACAGAAGCGGGGCTGCCGTACACTGGCACCACCCGACCCTCTGACCACCAACAGTAGACAATGCAGGTGAAGTGTCTTGTCCAAGGACACAACAATGAAAGTCGGAGCCGGGGCTTGAACCGTCAATCCTTCGATTTTAGGGCAAACTCCTACATCCAACGCCACTGACACCCTTAGTGTGTACCTTCATGTGTTTGGTTAGGTCTCCACAGAGTTTGAAGCCTCTACCACACACTGTACAAGGAAATGGCTTGTCGCTGCTGTGAGTCGTCTGGATGTGGCACATCAGCGTCGGTTTTATAGGAAATGTCTTGCAGCACACATGGCAGAGGAATGGCCGATTTCTCCCTGTATGAGACATCTTGTGTCCTTTCGCCTCCGATCTGTTTTGAAGTGACTCAACATGTGCCATGACAGAGATCGG